ACCCAGGCTGGAGTGCGGTGGTGTGATATCGGCTCCCTGCAAGCTCTGCCTCCCTGGTTCAAGTGATTCTCCTGCCTCAGCCTCCTAAGTAGCTGGGATTACAGGCGTGTACCACCATGCCTTGCTAATTTTGTATTTTTAGTAGAGACGGGGTTTCACCATGTTGGACAGGCTGGTCTCGAACTCTTGACCTTGTGATCCACCTGCCTTGGCCTCCCAAAGTACTGTTTTTTAACATTGACCATGAGGTTCTAGTTGTTCATTAATTGACCAATGGTGAAACAGCTGAAATCGTTCTGAATAAAGGTGATCATGATAATAGTCATGATAACAATGAAGGTGATGTTAACATGGCAGAAAAAGTGCCCATAGACAACACGATGGAAATATGTGAAGAGCTTATTGAAGGACTAGAGCAGGGTGCATTCATAACAGGACAGGAAATCATGTTCGTTTATAAAATCAAAAAGACTTCTAAGACAAAAACTTATTAATGGGGCACATGACTCTGGAGGAAACATTTTAAAAATCCATCCAGCAGAATGCCCCCTCATCCCTAGAGGACCCAATTCCTGGTCCTTCAACTGCTTCTGATGTTTCTTCTCACGGAAAAAAAAAAAAAAATACAGTGTATAGTAACCTTTTAATCAAAACACAGCAAGGCTAGAAGCAATGGCTTGCACCAGTAATCCCAGCACTTTGGGAGGCCAAGATGGGCGGATCACTTGAGGCCAGGAGTTTGAGACCAGCCTGGCCATTATGGCAAAACCCCATCTCTACTAAAAATATAAAAATTAGGCAGGCGTGGTGGCAAATGCCTATAATCCCAGCTACTCGGTAGGCTGAGGCACAAGAGAGGCAGAGGTTGCAGTGTGCTGTGATCATGCCACTACACTTTAGCCTGAGCAACAGAGTGAGACTCTGAAGAAAAAACAAACCAAAACAAAACATTGAGACAGGTGGAGACTAAACAAACACCTGCCTTTTTGTTGCTGTTTTTAGCAACTGATAGAGGTTTTCTGGTGATGCTACTATGTTACTTAGTTACCCTAACCATGTTATTTTTTAATTGTATTAGTGGTATTTCATATTTTTTACTGTTACATACTTACATATGAATAAGTATAAGAAAATGTTTACTGGTAGCCTATAAATTCAGAGTCAAGAACGATGGTGATGCCAAACAACCACAGATTGTTCCTGTAAATGACTAAGAGAGTGGCTCCTTTGCTTTCTGATGGTTCAGAGTACACAAACTTTGTTTCATGAATAAAATTATTTAAAATATTGTGTAGGCCGGGCGCAGTGGCTCACGCCTGTAATCCCAGCACTTTGGGAGGCCGAGGCGGGTGGATCACGAGGTCAACAGATCAACACGGTGAAACCCCGTCTCTACTAAAACTACAAAAAATTAGCTGGGCATGGTGGCGCGTGCCTGTAATCCCAGCTACTCAGGAGGCTGAGGCAGGATAATTGCCTGAACGCAGGAGGCAGAGCTTGCAGGGAGCCGATATCACACCACCGCACTCCAGCCTGGGTAACAAGAGCGAAACTCCGTCTCAAAAAAAAAAAAAAAGATATTGTGTAAAATTACCTTCAGCCTATGTGTATGGAGTGTGTATGAAACCTAAATAAATCTTATGTTGAGACTTGGGTCCTTTCCCCAAGATATCTCATTATATATATGCAGATATTCCAAAATCTAAAGAAGTCAGAAATCCGAAACATTTATGGTCCCAAGCATTTTGGATAAGGGATACTTAACCTATACCATTACACTCTTTAAAACACTTGTAATGTCAACCCCCCCACCCCTACCCGCTCCACCTGCCTCAGCAAAAAAAAAAAAAAATCAGGATTCATTAGGTGTATCTCATTAGAATTAACTTCTGGAAAACTAAAATGTTCAAAATATCTAAGTAAATAGAGTTTAAATTTTCACAGGTGCTGGAGAAAATTTGGAGAATACAATGGCAGCCTTTCAGCAGTAAGTATGTAAAAAAGTACTGTTTTCTTTTACAGTTTGCAGGTTTTCTTTAAAGTGATGATGATCCACAAAGTGAGGATAGTGTAAGTGTAACATCCATTTGTGATAGTTGTTTCTATTTTATTAAAATTTATTTTTTTAATTAGTTGGTCAGAAGTGTTACAAAGAGTGGCTTCTGTATTACTGGAAAAGCAGATGGGAGTTTAGGGTAATCAAAAGATGCTATAGTTACAAAGCTGAAAGAAGACTTTGTAACAAGGAATGTACTGTGTATAATGCTAATTAGTCTTGGAGAGAAAGAGAAAATGAAACAACTGTTACAGTGGCTGCTATTTATGAATAGGATTATGTGTCTTTGTACTCAGTAATTTTTGTACAGATCTGAACCCTCAATCTGGTTTCTTCTTGGAAGCCTCAAGAATGTTGATCTTGGGCCGGGCGTGGTGGCTCAAGCCTGTAATCCCAGCACTTTGGGAGGCTGAGGCGGATGGATCACGAGGTCAAGAGATTGAGACCATCCTGGTCAACACGGTGAAACCCCATCTCTACTAAAAATACAAAAAATTAGCTGGGCATGGTGGCACGTGCCTGTAATCCCAGCTACTCAGGAGGCTGAGGCAGGAGAATTGCCTGAACCCAGGAGGCGGAGGTTGCGGTGAGCCGAGATCGCGCCATTGCACTCCAGCCTGGGTAACAAGAGCGAAACTCTGTCCCAAAAAAAAAAGAATGTTGATCTTTTTTTTTTTTTTCAAATAAAATACATTTTTTAAATTCCTATTTATAAATTATTTCATATAAGTGTCTTTTAGAGCATCTCACAGAGAAGCACCAAGAGAGACAGGAATGGAAACTAATTAATACCTTGTTCTTTGTCTTAGAGTCAATGATTATCATCAGTCTATGGTAATTGTGAGAACACTGTTTTCCCTGAAAAATAAAGCAAAGAACATGAAAAGTTAAACCTAATGAAAGACATTATCCATATTTAGTAAGATAAATTTTTAAATATAATTTTTGAGTCATTTTAATGTATGTAATTGGGACTAAGAAATCAGAAGAATTTGACGTAACTTTTTGTTCTGGTTCTCACCATTCAAAGACACCTTAGAGATTATTTTTCCTATTATAATTAGGTACAAAGTTACTGTTTTTTCATATACTAGTTTCACCTAAATCCCATCTTCGTTGTATTTATCATCTCTTACTCTTCTCGTTCTATTCTATGATGACTTTTGTCTATGATCTTAAAACCCTCTTACAAAAATTTAAAATTTTGACTGGGTGCAGTGGCTCACACCTGTAATCCCAACACTTTTGTATGCCAAGGCGGGCAAGTCACCTGAGGTCAGGAGTTCGAGACCAGCCTGGCCAACGTGGTAAAACCCTGTCTCTACTAAAAATACAAAATTAACTGGGCATGGTGGTGCATGCCTGTAATCCCAGCTACTCGAGAGGCTGAGGCATGAGAATTGCATGAACCCAAGAGACGAAGGTTGCATTGAGCCGAGACTGCATTGCTGCACTCCAGCCTGGGCATAGAATGAGACTCCGTCTCAAAAAAAAAAAAAGGAAAATTGTTCCTCCTGTCACCAACCATAAAATGGATTACATATGCTTACGTATGGTATATTCTTGATAGGATGGGTAGTTGAGGGAGAGAGAGTAAGAATAAAATGAATAGCTAAAACTTAGATCTTATTTATGTACATATTTAGATGTACATTTCACAAAGCGTATACATTTCAAAATGGAGGTGAAGGCTGGGCACGGTGGCTCATGCTTGTAATCCTAGCACTTTCGGAGGCCAAGGTGGGTGGATCACCTGAGGTCAGGAGTTCAAGACCAGCCTGGCCATCATGGTGAAACCCCATCTTTTAAAAAAAGAAAGAAAGAAAGAAAAGAAACAAAATGGAGGTGAAGATCAGGAGATATTAAAGACACAGTCGGTATGGGAAGCCTGATTAAAATTAACCAGAAAAATGCCCGGGTGAGGTGGCTCATGCCTATAATCCCAGCACTTTGGGAGGCCGAGGTGGACAGATCACTTGAGGTCAGGAGTTCAAGACCAGCATGGCCAACATGGTGAAACCCCGTCTCTATTAAAAATACAAAAAGTAGCCAGGCATGGTGGCCCATCTGTAATCCAGATGCTTGGGAGGCTGAGGCAGGAGAACTGCTTGAAGCCAGGAAACAGAAGTTGCCGTGAGCCAAGATTGCACCACTGCACTCCAGCCTGGGTGATAGAGCAAGACTCTATCTTGGAGAAACCACACACAAAAAAAAAAACCCCAGAAAATCAAAAGATATTAAGACTAGAAGGGCTATCATTGAAGACAGAAAGGAGCTATTCTGAAATTTAGGCTTAGCTGGGTGCAGTGGCTCACACCTGTAATCCCAGCACTTTGGCGGGTCAAGGCAGGCAGATCACTTGAGATGAGGAGTTCGAGACCAGTTTGGCCAACATGGTGAAACTCATCCCTACTAAAAATTAAAAATTAGCTGGGCATAGTAGCACTCACCTGTAGTCCCAGCTACTTGGGGAGCTGAGGTAGGGGGATTGCTTAAACCGGGAGGTTGAGACTGAAGTGAGCTGAGATGGTGCCTCTGCACTCCAGCCTGGGTGACAAAGTGAGGCCCTGTC